ATATATATATATGTATGTATACATTACACATATCACCTTTGTGCGTGTGTATACAAACAGTGACATAGATACGGTTATGCACAACTGCAGCAAGTCCATAGATCTCTGCCCTGAAAGTCCTCGGTTCACTTTGCAAATGCCCAGTTCTGGTTTCAGCATCATCAATGCTTGCACACCAAAGAAGTATGACGGAAGATAGAGGTGATGATGACGATGATGATCATGATTGCTTTATTACGCCAACCTGCCGTGCGGCTTATAATTTCGCGGAAAAGGGGCTTGCAAGCAATGCCGTGCTCAACCTCCAAACCCAGAGCTGTGCCTCACGATCTAGCTCCCGTCTTCGGGCGGCAGCAGTTCTCTCCTCCGCCTCGCGTCGTGGTTTAGGTCTCGGGTGAGTGATTTTCCGGCTTCTCCTTCTGGGGAATCTATATATATATATATATACATCATATATATATATATCATATATCTCTGTCATATATATATATATGTATATATATATATATATACATATATATATATATAATCATGAGGACTGCTGCTGCTCAGTCCTGATCTGGTGATTCTCCGAGGGCCCCTGCCTTGAGGTCCTGAATCTGCTGGGACAGCTGATCGCCTAACTGGGGCGACGATTTACCCTTCCCATGTGGGGGTTTCCGAAAATAGGGGGTACCTTATTTTGGGGTCCTTATAATAAGGATCCTACTATTTAGGGTATTATATTAGCGTCCCCTATTTTCGGAAACCCCCATGTCAGTGCAAAGCAATGCCGATCTGCAGACACTGACACCATGGCTCAGAATGAAGCAGCTCTTTTTCAGCTGGGGACAGCCGGAAAAACTCTCAACACAAGCATCCGCATCAGCAGAGGCGGATTCGCTTCCCGTCACTACGTGCAACTCTTGCTTGAACTGAGATGTGATGGATTGTTGTCCTAGGAGGCAAAGGGACGGACGAATCGGATAGATGTACTCAACCCTGTCGACTGTCGACCCCTGGCCAACACGACAATCTAGCAAGCACCAGCGAGCATTCCTCGCGATCACTTGATAAAATGTAAAACTTCAACCCAGCCCAGCTTCCACTCACAGGCAAGGAGCATGAACCGCGCAATAAGACCCTGAGCATCACGTAGCTAACGTGACCCAGTGCAGAGTTGCATCGCAAAGCATGAACCCTCAACTCTCGTACTGCCGGGTCTTGCTGCATGCCCGTGCGGTGGATGAGAGAGGCAGCCAGCAAAGAAGCTTTAGACCTGAGGTAATTTCTCAGCATTATGCATCAGCTGGGATCTCGGATGGGAAGCGGCAGCGGCAGGGACACGGCGCGATAAGATGCTTGTAACTACTTCTAACTCTCCTTCTCAGTGCGCGTCGTGGGCTGTCCATGCATCCCCATCAGTTCGAGTGCTGAAGTTTGTTTGGGAACTTGATAAAATTCTCAGAGTCACTTTGTAGGTCTAGTTCAAGAGGAAAGCTGCGCACATTTCCAAGCTCAGCAAGCTGTTCCATGTGGGCGGATGCTCATCACTGCTCATCTGTCTTCAAAACACGTCTGACTTCCTATAAGTTGAAACTTTCGCTCCCGGCAGCTCACCAATAAAGCCTATGAGGCGAGTGAACTCTGGTGGAAAAGCTTAGCCAAGGATATGCTTGGCAAGCTGAAAAAGATCCGCGGGTTGCTCTCCACGTCAGAAACTGTAGAATCGTACGTAGAAGTAAGTGATCCACATGTACATGTTGAGCAACCACCTGGTGGTACTGTGCAGATGAGAGAGTAAAACAAGCTTGTATAGCCTGTTGGCCCGGGGCTGTGGGGCTGTTGGCCTCCTTGCCCGTCCAACGCTCGGCCTGCCACACGCTGCTATTGTAGCATGTCTGCCTTCAAATTGCGGCCTTCCAATGACAGTGGGCATTATCACCCTGTGGCGAGAAAAACGGATGCGGGCTCCTGGTCAAGCCTTCCAGGTACCGTTGCAGCCGGAACAGCGTCATTTCAAACGCACAAGCTGAAAACAGCAGTCAGAGCTCCGAGAGCGTAAAGTTGATCCGAAATCACGCTGTACTGCCAGCTTTGTAACAAGCAGGATCGAGGACAAAATGTCGTGAGGTTCGACTTGGAAGCAACGTGTGGGCCAATCGCCAACACTCTGCCTAGACTTAGACCACATTTCATGATGCAGCACTTCTACGCATCAGGTTGTTCCTGCGACACGTTGCACAAGGTCGACCTCAAAGCTACTTCGCCAACCTACAAGTCAAGGTGCAGCACTGGACTTGAACTCCTCAAATCCAGAAAGACTGTCCAGGGCTTGACCTCAGCCAAGTACACTTTCTAGGGGAGCTCTGCCCGAAACAACAGCCAAAATGCTCTTGCTCTGAATGCCGTCAAGGGGGCGTCGCAGGGAGTTGCGCTTCACCGCAGAAAGGGCAAAATGAATGATTGCCCGTAATCCTCGCAGCGTTTTTTGGGTGATCTTCGCACTTAAGCCGTTACTGCACTCGCTTGCCGGGCCATGCAGTCACTGACACACAGAAAGCCAGGACGGTCAGACGGCCGCAATTCCAACAATGCGATGGGTCGTGTACGTGATAACCAGCAACCTGTCAGGTCACGGGAGAAGGGGATCTAGCTCGCGCTTGCCGGACGAACCTGGGGCCGAAAAAAAAAACTGCTCAGAAGCACCCTTTCTCTTTTCATTTCCACTGAATGTCAAGAATTCCTCCATTGGTCCATAGTTCCTTCACACCATCTGACGGGAATGATCGCCTACTGGATTCCCTCGCAAAATCGTCTAGGGGGGCGAGATCCTTGTGATCCCTTGTGGTATACGGTATACAATCCAATACACCAGCAGCCTGAAGCACATCTTTGGGTTTTATAAGTCTACCTCCGGTGGGGTCTCCTCCTAATTATTCCGGAGCAACTCGGGCTCACAGCCCCAAAGTGTTTCTACACCAACTCGCCACTACGCGGTACTATGCGAGTGCCCAGCTAAGCTTGTAGCCTGGACAGGTCAGGAAGCCTGCCGCAACTCACAAGCACAAGACCTACAGGGCTCAGAACAAGAAATGCTACCTGAAAGAAAGCCCCATGCTACCATTCCCGAGAACAGAGCATCCAGCAGCATAGCCCTGCTCGTAGTAGAAGCAAGGGTCATCCACAACCCACGATGATCGGGTTTAGGGTTTAGGGGTTTAGGGTTTAGGGGTTTAGGGTTTAGGGGTTTAGGGGTTGGGGTTTAGGGTTTAGGGTTTAGGGTGTCATTATCTCTCACCGGTTGCGCAACAAGCAAGGCCAGCGCAGTCCCTGCCTGAGGGGAAAGGATAGCTGCGGGTTGCCGTGGCAGCAGCAGCTGCTCAGGTCTTTGTGGGTAGGCCATAGGCACCCTGGCCCAACGGAGGTTTAGGGTTTAGGGTTTAGGGTTTAGGGAGTTGAGTTCAGAAGCCTCAAAACGTGTAGGACATGACGGGGATTCTGGTGCGTAAGACCTGCGCTAGGGAAAATGAACGAATGATGCCGCAACAGCAACAGTAACGGAATTCAATCATCACAGTCGGGCTGTCGGCAATGAGCTATGCTTCTAAAGCCTCGCAGTCTGCATGAAATTGTGTGGGGGTTTCAGAAAATAGGGGACCCTAATATAGTACCCTAAATAATGGGATCCCTATTATAAGGACCCTAAACCCTAATTTTCTGAAACTGTGTAGTACCCGTGCCTCATAGGGATTGCGCCTGCTTCCGGCCGCACGGGTGCACTGTGTGGCCTCGGCAAGCAGCAAGGGTAGAATAGTAGTAATCGTAATAATAATAATAATACTAATAATAATAATAGTAATAATAATAAAAATAACAATAATAATTAGTAATGGTAAAAAATAATAGTGCATTTCGTCTGATCTGGCTCGAAGCCGGCGGTCTCTCCGGCAAGTGCAGCACATCTGAGACCACCTAGAAGCTTGGGGAACGGCTTTATGGGCTGAGGGGCAAGCTCTTCGTATTCTCATGTCCATCTTCATGTATTCCTATTTGCAGATATGTGTAAAGGTCTTCGCATGTGTATATATATATATATATGAGTCTATGAGCATATATATATATATATATAGAGAGAGAGAGGTATGTATGTATGTATGTATGTATGTATGTATGTATGTATGCATAGACACACACATAAATACTGTGTGTGCGCATACATGTCGATGTACATAGATGCATTTCCATATATAGTATACTTTATTTTTTAGATATTTGATCCGGAAAAATTTCACTCGGAAACATTTTGCACATGTGTGATTTCGATAGTCAACCTTACGCCGCGTACCTCTGCTACAGCCCAACAGAGCAGGTTGATGTTTGAGAGTGCGGCGGCTCCGGCAGCAAATTCGCGACAGGCTGCACGGGATACCTGCTAGGGCTCTCTCCTCGATGCCATCCCAGGTTAGGGCTTCCTTGATTTGCTCTGAGGACCCAGATGGGAGTTTCCGAAAACAAGGGGTCCTTATTTTGGGGTCCTTATCATAAGGATCCTACTATTTAGGGTGCTATATTAAATAATTAGGGTCCCCTATTTTCGAAAACCCTCATGGGGAACCTAATATAGTACCCTAAATAGTAGGATCCTTATTATAAGGACCCCTAAATAAGGTACCCCCTAATTTCGGAAACCCCCATTTGCTCTGAGGACCCAGATCTAGACGGATCTTGTATGAGGATAAACGCGACCCTAAGAACCCAAAACCCCACTTTTTTGTAGGTTCTTATTATAAACCCGAATATGGGATTTATAGGGACCCTACAAAAAAGTAGGTTTTGGGTTCTTAAGGTAGGCCCTAAACCCCTAAACCCAAACCCCTAAACCCTTAACCCTAAACCCTAAACCCCTAAACCCTTAACCCTAAACCCTAAACCCCAACCTTTTGGAAATTACGCCGACTTCCGAGGCCCGAGCTGCAACGCGGGCTCTCGCAGATCCCGCCCAATGGGCGGCCAGGAGATGTCGTGGCCCTCAAGCCCATCCTGGCTCGCCTGCGCAAGGGGTTTAGGGCTTTAGGGTTTTAGGGTTTTAGGGTTTTAGGGTTTAGGGTTTAGGCTTTTAGGGTTTAGGGTTTTAGGGTTTAGGGTTTAGGGGCAGAAGGGAAAAAAGGAAGTTTCGACTTCGCAAGAGCCCAGAGAAGTCCTTTGCAAAGGCTTGGGCCTCTTCGTGCTGTGAGCTCTTGCTCTTGGGCTTCTTCGGCTCCTCACGGGTGCTTCGTGAGACACCGGTCAGCTCTTCGTGCAAAAAATGGCATGCTGATGGCTTGCAGCTTTGCAGTACCGCAGCTATTCTCTTGGAGCCTCATGCAGTCCAACTCTGCGACCTCCCAGACCCCGTGCCACATGGGAACAATCAGGGTCCTCCAACGTCCGCAGGTGGTTGACCCTTGGTGGATAAAGGAAATCAGACACGATCCACGTAAGAACATCTAGAAACATCGAAAGGACCGCCGGACCAGTCTTCTCTTCGAGTGGCAGATGCCTTTGCAATGGTCGCAAGAATGTCGGGCAGCCGAACACATCTCGGCCCTTGCCTTTGCGGCTTGCCTGCGCGCGGAACAGGGGAAATCGCAAGGGTCC